CTGGGATTGAATGAGGACCGGTTACCTGCAAGGCCAGCGCCCTGCCCGCTGGACTCTCTTTCCGGCCCAGTTTGGGAATTGGGGAAGAAAGAGTATCCCAGAGGACTCGAACCACGAGTGTGTGAGTGGGGGGCCCCTGCCCCCGCAGGCTCTGGGAGGCAGAAGGTGCCAGGGCTGGTCGAAGGGGGCAGGGAAGTGCACATGTGGCTTTCCTCTCTGGCTGGTGGCGCTGTGTCCCTGCCCCGCTTACGCTCCCGGGTGCCAGAGCTGATCCAGTGTTTCCGAGCCTTGACTGCTCTTTATTTCCATTTGATTCTGTCTCTAATGAAAATAAATATTTACCATCCCGGGAAGCTGCGTCTGGGTCACTCCCAGCTGCCTCTCCCATGCGCGGTGTTTGCTTAGCGCTGCACTGATCTGGCAAGAATGATGTGGGACAGGAAAGTCGGCATATCTGAGGCAGCCATCTGGTGAGCAGGAATGCGCCGTGCTCCCAGGCAAGCCCTGGGGTCGCTGTCCTCCCACGGCTCCCAGGGAGGGTCCGGGGGCGTGTCCCTGTGTCCCTCCCAGACCTGGCCTGGCCCCAGCAGACCCTGGCTCAGCTCGCAGGGACCCTGGCGCAGGGCGGCTGCACTCTGAGTGTGTGAATGTGAGCTACAGTGTGTGTGAATGACAGTGTGAGAATGTGTGTGTGTGCATGTTGGGGAGGTGTGAGTGTATTACTGAGTTTGAGTGTGAGGATATGTGAAGGTGTGTGTTGTGGCTGTGTGTGTGAGTATATGTGTGAGTTTGTGTGAGTATGTATGTGAGCGTATTTGTGTGAGTGTGAGCTTGTATGTGTGTATGAATGAGTAGAAATGTGTGTATGCATGTGAGCGGGGGGTGTTTGTATGTGTGTGAGTGTGAGTTTGTATATGTGAGGGCATGTGTGTATGATTGTAGGTATATGTGAGGGCGTGTGTGAGTGGGTGTATGTGTTTGCATTCATGTGAGAGTGTCTGTGTGTGTGCATGTGAGAACACGTGTATGTGTGTATGAGGTCACCGGGAAATCCAGTCTTGCTGCGGTTCTGTGCCTGGGCTTGCCCGCGTTCTTCCCAGGAACGTGGGGTGGATGATTCGGCCCTGCATGGGGGCAGTGGATGGAGGCCTGCGCCTCCAAGGTGGGCGCTGGCCGCTGTGTGGGGTCCCTGGAGCCAGTGGCCTGGGGGCTCCGGCTTTCCCCAGGGTGCTCTCAGGGGGCGGAGCCACAGAACAGCCTCCCTTTCCAGGGAGCGCAGTCTTTGCTGGGAAATCCAGGTTTTAGAATAACACCGAACCGAGAGCCCAGTATGACCTAGGGCTCTGTTCTGTGTTGCCCTCAGCTGGGGACTGGCCGGCTGGGGCAGGTGGCCCGTGCCTGGTGCCTGGCCTCAGGCTGTGGTTCTCAGCCCCTACCTTCCTCTGGGTTTTCCTCCCGAGTCATCCTGGGCTTCTGCCCATCACTGACCCCTCCCAGGCCTCGGGTCTCTGCTGGAGTAACTTGAGCACCAGCACCCTGGGGACTTCCTGGGGGTTCTGTCACCTGGACTTCTTTTTTGATGATTGGTTTTCACAGAGTCTGCCGTGCAGGACAGACCTTCTCACTGCTGTTCAGCGTCTGGCTCTTGCCCTGAGCCCTCCCCCAGTCATGCACAGGAGTCATGGCTCAGCCAACACAAGCTCTCAGACGTGCATCTGGCCCAGGGTACCTGTGAGGGACCTCCTGTGGTTTGTTCTTTGGGGCGGCCCCTACTCCTGGCAGAGTGCTCCGGGCTCTCGCAGCCCCAGGGTCTGCAGTGGGAGTGAGAGCGGCCTGTCCTCGAACCTCTGCCCCGTGGGCTGATGGTGAAGCTGCACGCCTGCCCCTGTGGGTGGCGTCCAGGGAGGCGCCATACAGACCTGCTGCCTCATCTCTCCTGGCCCACCGTGTGTGCACCTGCACTGTTGGGCGCTCATAGCCTGTGGGCGACTGGGTCCATCGAGTCTGTTTCTGGTTCTCAGAGGGCTCCTGAGGGATGCTGGCTGACTGAGCTCTGGTGTGTCTGTGTGGGGCAGATGGGCCCCCTGGGAAAGTCCCGGAACAGGAAGCCACTTAATCCCCAAACCCAGAACCCATGCCTCCCAGGCGGCATGGGAGATGGGAGATGGCTCTGAGCTTCACTGGCCCTTGAAGACATGCTGGTCCATAACCCCTGTCCTTGGGGTCTGACCACAGGCTGTGTCCTGGGCCAGGAGCTGCAGGCACTGCTGGAAGAGAGAAGGGAGCTCCCCAAATCAGAACAGGCAGAGAGGGCTGAGCAGGTGGGAGGCCCAGGTTCCATCCACGCAGTGACCCCACTCACCTGCCTGCACCAAGCTGGGAGTTGCCCCGAAACACCACCGGATGTCACCCCCAACACACCTACAAAAGAAATAGCTCCAGGGGGCTGGAGCGATAGCACAGTGGGTAAGGCGTTTGCCTTGCACAGGCCTACCCGGGTTTGATTCCCGGCATCCCACATAGTTCCCCGAGCACCACCAGGAGTGATTCCTGAGTGCATGAGCCAGGAGTAATCCCTGAGCATCGCTGGGTGTGACCCAAAAAGCAAACAAAAAAAAAAATAGCTCCACCCTGCGGGGTCTGTGGTCCCCTAACCCGGGAAGCAACCGTGAGGAGCTGCAGCAGAGGCTTGGGGAGCCCCAGAGAGAGCCAGTGCTAGAGATGGGCGCCTGGAGGGAGGCCCGTCCCACTCTTGTTAAAACGGATATCAGCAAAGCACAGGAAGGGATGGCACGAGAAAAGAAGCCTGCCTGTGTAGATGGGAAAGGGGTTCAAGCCTTCCTTTCTTCCTCCTTTTGGATGTTGGACCTCTCTGCACTGGAGGAGTACGGAGGTGCCGGGGATGGGCTGGGCATCCTGCGGTGCAAAGCCTGGCTCAGCCCTGAGTGCTCTCTGGGTGCTGCTCCCGTCAGCCCTGGCTTGTTCTCTGAAAGTGCTTGTGCAGCTTCCAATCTCTGCTGGGTTGCAAGCTGATAGGGCCTGGTGGGCTGCGACCCTGAGCCGAGGGGCCCTGGAGTGCTCACGCCTTCCTCCACGTGTTGTTGGGCTATGCGTAAGACTGAGAGCGGGTCATTGACCTGCGTGGAACACCGTTAAGATGTGCAGAGAGGAGCATGGCATTCGGACCCTGCTCTGTCTTCTGCATTTTACTGTTTGTGATGTTATTTCTTGAACTTTGGGATGGACTTAAAACTTGATAGACTGCTGCTTAATGTGAAAATCATTAACTTCCATGGAATCCAGTGAATCCCTTCTTATAAATGTTCTTTTTTGGTTCTGTCGTGTGTGTGTGTGTGTGTGTGTGTGTGTGCGTGTGTGTGTGTGTTTGAGCTACACCCAGTGGTGCTCAGAGATAACTTTTTTTTTAAATTTGTATTAGTGAAACACCATGAGGTACAGTTGTAGACTTACAAATTTTTATGCTTGGGTTTCAGTTATACAATGATCTGGTACCCATCCCTCCACCAGTGCCCATTCTCCATCATTTACATTTTTTTAAAATTTTTGTTAGTGAAACACCATGACAGGGATCACTCTTGGTAGTTTTGGGGACCATGCCAGCAACTGGACCTCAATTTGCCATGTGCATAACAAGAGCCCTACCCACTGTTCCGTAACTCTTCAGTCCCTCAGGAGTGTTTTGAGTCCTTAAGCCAGTGATGAACCAGCCTTCTGTGGCTTTGCCACCCGCATAAACTGCTCTCACCGCTTCCAGGACGGAGGGGACATAGCCCGTTCACGCCTATGTGTGGTCAAGATTCTCTGCTGCTTTCCAGTATTTTCCAGATTCTTTGTGCAGACCCTGGATCGCTGTCCACCTTTCAGCATCTGTCGCTGAACCCCTGGTCCCCCATGGCTCTGAAACGCCACAGTGTTCTTCCCAAGATGGGTTTCAGCACTTGGCTCACTGGGTTGAGAGCAGGTTCCGAATCTGTCTCTGTTCAGGAGCGAAGGCTCGGACAGGAGAGGAGTCTTGTGGAAGGGGGGGTCTGAGGGAGCTCGGAATGAAGGCATGAATGGGCAATGGATCCAGGTGCCCCACTCACCTATCATCTGTCATTTCACTGCCTGACAGCTCCGACTTTGAAAACCACCACTTTCAAAAGGAAAATGGAAGCATGTTTAAGTGCACCACGTGTGTTCATTGTAAGGAAAATGGATGTGGAAGGATGTTTAAACATGTTCATTGTAAGGAAAGTGGGCATGGAAGCATGTTTAAGAGTGCTGTGTGTTCACCGGGTTTATCTCCAGCCACTCCGATGCTGAGAGATGCTTCAGGGCTGGTAGTCTGCAGAGATTTCAGCTCACTGCTCATTGTCTGACTTTGCAATAAGTGGTGACAATGATGTGGTGGCACAGGGCCTTTGGCCCAGATAAATTCCAGCCCCTGGGGCTGAATTCAGGAAAGGGGGTGGCGGTATCCTTGAGGAGAGGAGCCCCAGGTGGAGAAACTTCCAGAGAATCCAAGCGGTGGCCTGGGGAAGAACGCAGAAGGTGGGGTCTCTAACGCATGGATGCAGCTCTTGCACTTGTGCTTGTTAAACCACGTTCAGGTGCCAGCCACGGTGGCACGGGCCAGCGCCAGTGAGCTGAAGGGTTTGTACTTCCTGAGGCTGTGTATAGGGGAACCCAACTAGGAAGGGTCCGGGGGGTTCTCACTGTGACTCCAGCCTGCGCCCCTCAGGGGCCCACAATGCTGCAGTGTCTCTGCTGGGAATTTTTGTAGTGGCCTCACCTATGTCAGTCACGTGGATCCACGTCACTGAGTCTCTTGCAGGATGCCCACTTTCAACATCTGCATCTTAGAACTGTGTGACATGTGCAAATATCCCAGCTTTGTGACTCGTGTCCACTCAGGGCCGCAGTGCCCCAGGTGACGGGCAGGCTCTGGCATGATGCCTGCCTGTTGCCTTTCTCCTCTGGACGCTCCAGCAGGGAACATGGCGGCTTTTGAAGGCAGTTTCCTGCCATGTGAGTGAGTTTCTGTGTTTGGAGACATCAAACAAAACCAAGAGTTATTTTCTAAAAGAAAAGGCACTGTTTCTGTGTCTTGTTTGGAAAATCTATACTTAGAAACCCGGCCTTCTCCACAGAGACCTGATTTAGGAACAATTACAATTTTTATTTGTGATTTCAGAGTGACAATCCAGTGAACTCTGGCTGACTTTCTGGGTTCACATAATGGATCATTTTGCTGTGAACAGTCTTGGCTTTGACATTCTTTTGAGGGCAGAGAGAAATGCATTGAGTGTAGACTTCATATACCATTAGGTTTTTTTTTTTTTAATTTGGGAAGGGGGAATGCACGGGTGCAGAATAAGCACAGTGCATGATGCTAGCAGTAAAGCCTGTCTCCCTCTTCTCCTCTCTTCTCTGGCCTTGGGGTGCCCTCATCAGCCACTTTGTAAACATCCTACCCCTTTTCTGCTTTCATTACCAGCACTTTCCTCTTCCGTCTCTGTGCTGACTCCATGCTGGGTGGCACTTGGGTAGTGCATACTGGACCTCCTCACTCACATTCCATTGTACCTGGATGCTCCCTCACCTGCTGCTTTCTCTGAGGAAGCCTTTTGTTTTTTTTCCACTTTGCTTAAAGACCAGGCACTTTCTTGCACATATATGAGTCTCAGACAGACTTCGGGGAGTGGAACTTATCTGGGCCAAAGGATCTCTTCCATTTTACCGTCTGAGTCTCTTTTGGGGAGCTGAATGGTTAGCAGTCTGGGGACCCCACTGATGATTTTGGGTCAGCCAAGCCAAGCGGTTGTGGTGCTGCTTGGCCTTACAGTACTGGAGGTCCCTGGGTCCACCCTGGCAGGGCTGAAGGTCTCCAGGCTGCAGGCAGCATTGCTTGGGGAGAGTCAAGGGTGCCAGGACTTGAACCTGGACTGGGTGCTTGCTGGGCATAACTGCTGCCCTGTCTCCTGGCCTCTTCCATGTGCTTTCATCCTCAGTTTCACCCTACCCACACCTCACATGTGCTTCTGGAACTTTCCCCAGGCAAACACACATGATGCAGGGTTGATCCTGGGACTGCGTATTGTTCCCTTGGCACTCTCTGGGGTCACTCCCGAGGAGACTGAGGAGTGACCCTTGAGTATTGCTGAGTTTGGCCTGAACACCCACAATTAAAATAAAACACCAAAACACCTTTGTGCTTCAAGTTCGGATCACCCTGTTTCAGGCCTGAGGTCCGAAGCAGTCATGGTTTGCGATTGTGCACCTGCCTTAGTGAGTGATTGGGTCCATGTCCTCCCTTTCGGGTGAGACTTGAGAAAGACAGTGGACCGCACCAGCACCTCTCGGTTACAGTTCCAGCTGGATCTGGGCCAGCACACCCTCCCAGGCCTGTTCAGTGTGGGGACCTGGGGCAAGGAGTCCAGCCTGTGAAGTGGGTCGGGTGCTGATCGTCCTCCCTGCTGGCTCTCTCTGTCCCCTTGGACCTGGTCCAGTTGGGTGATCCCCCTCTCAGTCTTCCCCTTCCTTAATCCCCCTCCTGCCCAGCTGGGCACCAGCAACTGGACAGAGACTTCTCGCTAGGCTGTTGGCTTTGGCGAGCTTCAGGACACTGCAGGCCACGGTGGACGCATCGGCCAGGCGGAGCCAGTGCTCCTCTGGGGCTATGGGTGAGCGTGGAGCCACTATCCGTGCAATATGGTGGGGAGAGAACCCAGAGAGGTGGATATTTGGGCCTGCTTCCCGACCTGTGGGATCTGTCTGTGTCCAGCAGTTGTTCAGCCCCTGCCTACAAAGAAAAGGCTGCTGTGGCCTAGCCCATCGCTCCTGCGTCTGCCTTTAGAAGACCCACCAGTGGGGCTGGAGTGATAGTCCAACAGTTAATGCATTTGCTTTGCATGCGGCTGATCTGGGTTCGATCCCCGGCATCCCATATGGTCCCCCAAGCACCTCCAGTGGTAATTTCTGAGTGCAGAGCCAGGACAAGCCCCTGAGCATTGCCAGGTGTGACACCCCCCCCTCCAAAAAAAGATAAAAATAAAGTAGAAGTATCCGTCAGTATAGTTTGGGTGGTAGAGGAGAGGTCAATGAAGTCTAGGTCAATGTGTGGACAGTGGCTTGCTCTGAAGGTCAGCCTCAGCCACCTCAGCCTCTGTCAGCCCTTTCTCAGCTGTCTGCTTGTCCAGAGAGTCTTTGCTCCAGCTCTTCCAGATGGCCCGGATAGGAGCAGGTGCTCCTCTTCCTGAAAAAATTCAAAGATTGACCTCAGGGTGCTCTGGGAGTGGGGATGGAGTGGCATCCCTTTCTGGAGAAAATTCCTTCTTGCTCAGGGTGAGATGGCTTCTTGATGTCCGTTGTGTGGTGGCCACCTCCTGACTCCTGGAGGGGGGTTGCGAGACCCCCCTGTAAGTGCTCAGAATGAAAGCCAAACCTGGTCAGTCCTCAGTAGCATTAGAGAGGGTAATGGTGGGGAGGTGAAGGCAGTGGGGTAGGATTTGGTGCTGCAGGTATTGTTGGTAGAGGTGGTGGTGATGGTAACAGTGTTGGTGGCAGTGGTAAAGTTACTGGTGGCAGAGGTGATGGTTGGTGACAGTGTTGGTGTTAGTCGTGTTAATGGTGGTGGTGATAGTGTTGGAGGTATTTATGATGATGGTAGAGGTGATTGTTGACAGTGTTGGTGATGACAGAGTTGGTGACAGTATTGGTGTTGTCTTGACGGTGGTAATGGTGTTGGTAGAGGTTGTGATGGTGCTGGTAGAGGTAATAGTTTTGGTGGTGGTTGGGATGGTGTCAGTGGTGGTGATGGCTGGGACATTGTTGGTGATGGTTGGGATGTTTTTGGTGATGGTTGGGACAGTGATAGTGTTGCTTAGGACACTTAGTGATGCTTGGATTCGTGTTGGCGGTGGTGATGTTTGGGACAATGTTGTTGATGGTGGTTAAGACAGTGTTGGTGGTGAATAAAGACAGATTTATTTCTGTTCTCTCTCCTTTCCCGTCAACCTTCTCATGTAATCGGCAGCACTGATCTCTGTGAGTTCCTCACAGGATGAACAGCTAGTATGTTTCCCGGTGAGCGCAATGTGGTGTTTGGTTTTCCTACACGTTGGCATGTTTTCGTGCGTTGGTAAGTCCCTCCCGTGGCTTGCTTTGAACACCTGTGTTTGCTGCTGTGCTGTGAAATGCCCTTTGCATAGTCTCACCAGAGAGTGCCCCTTCCTTCCTTCCTGGAACCTCCTCCTTCCTGCCCCCTCCTGGCTGGAAAGTAAACGTGCCCCCGCGTTGACTCCCTCCCCCTGATCCCACAACTGCCTCCCCACATCTGCTACCCAGTGCCACCTAGAGAGGAGCCGGGCCAGTCGCCATGCCGGAATAGCTCAGATTTGTGGTGGCGTCGCCATTTGCAGTTTGGACTCTGGCCAAGTTGTTTGTCAAGTGGAGCTCTGAGCATCTGTGCCCTGTCCTGTCCCAGATTGATTTTCAGCTGGGAAAAGAGTGCAGCCATCTTTGTCGCACTGGCTCTGCCTGGCTTGTAGCTCTGGAGGCCGATGCTCGTCTGGATTGAAGGTGCCGGACAGGGTGGGTTATTCTGCCATGCCATCACCATGCTGTCCTTCCTCTTCCCTTCTCTCCCATTCGCCTCTGTGCCCAAGACAGCCAAGGACAGCCGTTTCTTAAGAAAAAGAAGCAGCCATTCTTTTGTGAGCGCAGAGTTTGCAGGGGAGCTTGTGCACGTGCTCGGTCTCTGTCAGACAGGAGGAAGCCGGCTTGGGAGTTAGGAGAGAACTCGGCTTACAGTTTTGTAGCTTTGTACAGAGAGGCGAGCAGAGGGCTATGGAGTGTGCAAAGGGCAAGAAAACAGCGCCACGAGGGAGAAGAGCTTGAACTGTATATCGAGGTGTCTGAGGCAGTGTTTAGACAGTAATGGGGTAACTGGGGGTTCTGGGTCCCAGCTGCCCTTTGCAGGATGAGCGTTTAAGAGCAAAGATAGGAAGTTAGTAGAGGAGCATCCGGGAAGATAGTATTGCACTTCAGGTGCTTGCTTTGTATGTGTCTGACCATGGTTCAATTCCTAGCACCACTCGGTGCAACCCTTGAGGCCCCTGAGCATTGCCTAAGTGGCCCCAGAGGTCCTTGACACTGCAGTGCATCCTCTGGGACCTCCTGCTCAAGGGTCTGATCCGGTTGTTTGGGCTGTGGTCCCTGTGCTCCCTAAACTCACCACTGAAAAATGCTTCCTGACTGGGGGAGGCGGGGGGAGTGCATGAAAAAGTTTGCCACTGAGCCTGCCACCTTGTAGTTTTTATGTTTTCTTCCTTTTACAGTTTCTGCTTTTCTTAGGAATAAGATGCAGCTATTCTTCCAGTTGTCGCCCTTTTTAGGCAGAGCGGACTGGACGTGGGGAAGACCAAGAATTGAGACGGTGGGACACATGCTCGTTCCTGTACAGTTGCCAGCTCTGCCTTGGGGGACCATGCTGGGTCGGTGTGCATGTCTCTGGGCTGGCCAGGTGGGGGTGGGGGGCTGCAGTGCCCCCGGAGCTCTGCGGGAGTGTCTTCTGCAGTGCGGCTCTCAGGCCAGCGTCCCCCCGTCTGCCCAAGCTGTGGGAATCTGGCTGGTCACAGGCTCCGGCTTCCCACAAGTTTGCCCTGCCATCCAAAAGTAGAGCCTTCCCCTTTGCTCTGAATCAGTTGGTTATTTTTGGAGCCGGGACATGCCGGCGATGGTGCCTGGGTAGCTGAGTGAACACTGCGCTCCCAGGGTCTTCCCAGAGGGCATTCTGTGTCCACACAGCAGGCACACCTGTGTCTAAGAGGACCGCCGAGGGCCCGTGCACCCACGTTCCTCACACAGTGCTGGCCCAGGCGATGCTATAGCCGATGGGGTGACGAAGACCTTACTGGTTTTCCAGAAGAGGGTGTTTGGGAGACATGGAGCATTCGTGTTTTGGGGTCACCTCCCGAGGGGAACTTGGGCCCTGGGCTCTCGGGACATCTGACTCTGCAGTGCAGGCC